TCTACTAAAAATTTGAATCCTTGTTTGTCTTGGATGTAGAATAGTTTTTTATTGAGATTATTTAATACTGAGAGTTGAATTCGTTCATCTGCTCGAATTCTTCCATCTGAGTTTTGGGCTGAACATTTTGAATCTGAGGAGTGCAAATTCTCGAATAGTTTGTCTCCTCCGGGTAGTTTAAATGATTGACACGATTTTGAGGGTTACTTCGAATTCTTTGAATCACTGAGGGTCTTTGATCTGGTTGTCTAGGAATTGGTTGTGTTCCAGAGGTTCCAGGATTCTGAAAATTTGAAACTCTGTTCTGAAAATTTCTGTTTTGGAAATCATTTAGATTTTGGTTCGCATTCTGATTCGGCTGTGAATTGTTTTGTCCATTGTTTTTTTGACGTTTGAAACAATCACTCATTGTATGTCCTGTGCTTTTACAATAACTGCAATATTTTCGATTTTGTTGTTGTCTCGGATTTGAATGATTTTCGTAGTTTTCTTTTGGGAAAGTACGATTGAATGGTTGATGACGTGTATCAATTTTTGGATTCGATTTAGAAATTGTGAAGTTCTTCAAATACGCGATGTTTTCTTCTTCTATCAAAAATTGTTCTGCCTCATCAAGAGATTGTGGTCTCTGTGAGAGAATTATCGAACCAAAGGGCTCGTTTAAACCTGCGAGTACCGTTTTCAAAGAAATTTTTTCGTGTGATTGATTCAATGTTGCATTTTATTGGGCATCGAGATTGTTATCAAGAGCAACACTTGTTCTTAGTTTTGTTAAAAGATCTTCAATTCTTCGAACAAAAACTCGTGGTGTTTCATTGGATTTTTGGAAAGATGAAGTGAGCAATCCTTCTGTGTCACGACAATCACCATAATGACCTATCAAGAGTACAAGAATATCATCCCATGTTTGGAGTTGTCTACTAGAAATGAACCTTTTCGCTTTGCCTGTCAGTTCACTTTTTATTATGCAAATAAGAGCATTTTCTTGATTTTCATCGACTTTGTTTGTTACAAAATCACATGCTTCGATTGAGACATGAAGAGTTTTTTGATATCCGTCATATTCTGAAATCATGTCACGAAGTTCTTTCAATAAAAAACCTGCTTCTGCCATTTTTTGTCAGAGTAGTTTCTTGTTTGTGTTCGTTTTGCAAGGGAAGAGTGGATTGATTTTTTGGAATTAATAGGAAAATTGCAGGAAAGGTTGCTTTACGCCGCAATAGTCATGAAAATAGAAACAATAACTCACAGAGCTACGATGAAGATCTGGAGCTGCATCAAGGCTTGCTTCTGGAGTTTGTTCTTGGAAAGAATATGATTCTGGGTCAGGAAAGGGGCCGCTGAGTTCCAGAGGACGACTCCTTGTTGGACTCACAAGTAATCTTCGCCAGGAAAGGTGCCGCTGGAGAGAGATCTGCTTGGAGGGTTGTTTTTTGTTGTTGAATCCACTTGCAACTGGAAAACTGCACTTGCGATTAGTCCAGGAAAGGTGCCACTGGTCACGATCGAAATACAGTTTTTTGTCTCACTATTTAGTCAGGAAAGTCTTTTTCCGGTTTCGCACTAAATTCGCATACTTTTGTTTTGTTGAACGAACGGTTTTTTGACCTTTTCGTAGATCCATCACGACTGCGTCAATTTTTATAACTTGGGAGATACCCGTTGGTTTTTGAAAAATACACTTCATTTCGAACTGAAATGTATCTTTGATCAAGACTTTGATTTTGAGTGATGTTACTTGATTTTGATGTGTTCGAATTGAAAGCTCATTTTAGTCTGTTGATTCCCAGTCGTGAATATGCATTTAAGACTGTTATCTTCAGAAAATCCTGGAAATGCACCTCGCGACTTCTCAAGAATGGCGTGGGCAGATTAATCTCATATGATTATATCAAGCAGTGAATTATTTTACTGTATCAAATAGTTCTTTTTGTGAAGATTGAGGCTGTAAAATGGAAACAATGACTTTATCTATTGACGGAATTATATCAGATCTGTTCGAAAAAGAAGCAGCGCCCTAAAAATTATGTGTTTTCACCAGTTAGAATTGGATGTGAATTTTAATGACTTTTCAAAAAAGTTGACAAAACTGTTTGTTGCTGAATATGGGTGAGTGGTTTGAAAAATGTAAAGAAACAACATTTTCGACAGCAGTATCATTGCATCTTTTTTATTTTCTGCTTGAAATTTCCATTTCCATCAATGGCCGACATCTTATTCCTGCCGTAAATATGGCGCAAAGTATACTAAAAACCATTCTTTTTTCTCTAATGCTTGACGAAAACCTGTAGGTAATAATAAGGCATTTTATGAGACGATTTTCTCCTGATGAAGTACTCATTGTATATTCAAATCCATTCTTATGATTATTAGCTCCTGGATATGACAAAAAGCTTCGAACATGAGGATATTCATTCAAGAAGGTTATAAGATCACGCCTTCATGAAACTATAAAGCTTTAAGAATATCCTGGCTAGTGCTCATTGGCAGTGTTGCAAAAAGTAGAAGAACGTCATCAACATGATTAACATAACTCTACTTTTGTTATTTACATTAGTGTTAACTTTACGAATTTTGTGATTGTTTTTGAGTAGGAAACCGACTAGGAAAGATGAACATAGACAAACTACACTCAGTGCATTTTGCCTGATATTGCTCCATTCTCTCAAATTCATGCTGAACTCGCCATCTGACATAATTTGTGCAGAACTGTTGTCAACTTCCTCGCTTTCCCATTCAGGAGCACGATGATCAGAAGTATTTTATATCACGTTCTGACTCTTTGATGTTACTTCATGAACATCAGGTCCTGATGAAATTTTGCTATTTGGTGGTTTCAGGTGGGATGAATTGAAAGACGCAGTGTTTGAAATTGCCCAGGCTTGAGAATGCTGATTCACTGTCGCTTTCACATTGATTTTCGATTCTTGAGTAATTTTCTTAATTTTTCTGCTTGCAGTTGCCATTACTCTCAATCTCATACTATTTGTTTCCTTGCGAGTTAATTTCAACGTGAGTCGTTTGTAGGCAAAAAAATACGAAAATTTATATCATGGGATTTGGGTTCAATACTTTTCTGAATAAAACTTCATGAATCCTATAGATTTCATAACGTTCGCCCCGTAGGTATTTTAGTTTCCGGGTGACCTACCTTCAATTGTTTTGTTTTGACTTTGGCAAGTGTGCTTGCTCGTTACTACACCTAGGGTCGTGGATCAGATAGCATTCATTAATAACAAAGAAAAGAAAAAAAAAAGGAACAATCTAGGAATGAATATAGGCGCCAAGTGATTTCGAAATGATCAGTTGAAAGTGATATCCTCTGAGTTGAAATCACTAAACTATCCCAAAGGCAATAAAAACAGCTCTAGAGACGTTCAAATATAGGGTATGTATATTGAAAATATGATTATAATATATACATATAATCGAAAGATATTTAGTGAACTATAATATTAGTTGATAGTATTTTTGGGATCCCAAGAAAATCATAACAGAATGTAGGTCGTTGAACAATCGAAAATAAAGAAAGAAGATGTTCTCTCGTGCACCAAAATCGAAGATAATGATCCAAACTTCAATTGTGCCGAGATATCGCACTTGTCCATAGACAATTCCCAACAGTTTGGCGATATCTCCAAAGCAAATTCGGGAAAATATCGATATATATACGTAAGATTTTTGAAAATCGAAGAACCCGAAGTGTTGCCTGTAAATCTTCACAACTCGTTCTCCTCAACCAGCAGATCGCTACCGCGTTCGAGCAAATCAACCTTCTCAACTCTTGGCAAAAAGTTTTGTTTTTCGTGATTCCAATATTCAGAAAGAACGTATACAGAGTGATGTGGTTTCTTACCGAAACGAAAGCAATCGTTAATAATCCTAGTTCTCCTCCTAATCTAATTATTTTCTCAAATAAAAATGAAATATCGTAACAATTTTATGATTGACTTCGATGAATTGATTGTGGCTTATAGGTTTTAATGATTACTTTCACATAGCTAGAATAATGCCATTGGGTTACATTATTGCCTCAGTCAAATCCTGATTGGCCTAGCGTAAATTTGGTTTTATGATTGCTTCATGACGTATTTTCATAGGATTAGTTTAAAACCTCTTCAAATCCGAGACACAAATGAAACCTAAGTATATCAAGAGGGTTTTTAAGAGTAAATAGTTCTGATGAAGAATCTCAATGACTCTCACATAGCTCTCTTGAAACCGAAATGAGCTGAATGCCAAATTGTTTCATGCGATAGTTCTATCATAATATCTCAAAGCCTTTTGATGAGATTATATGGACATAATGGCCAATATGCTTCTTCTAAGGCATTCATGAGACGATAGACCAAATCTATCATTTGCGCTCGCATAACCTCTTCAAAGTCTCATCGAAGCTATTAGGCATTTTAAATGTTACTTGGGGTGCTACAGGTGGGTCGTATTCGTGACTTCACACGAACAGTATCAGCACACTCCGTCGTAGGTAATTGAAACTTCATCCCGCTAGAGTATATTCGAGTGACGCCTAAAACATGACAGGAGATTGTGGATTTCGAAAAAAATTATGAACTTTCAAAGGCTCAATCTCGAAAACTATTGGGTCTACCGAGACAGTAGTTTTTGTATCATATTGTGGCAGATCTGATCTGCTTTAAAAACGTCTTGAGAGATTAATTTTCAAAAACTAGTTCTTCAGGGTTATAATCGCCAGAATTTGAAAAAAATTACAATTTTTTCGCGGTTTCTTCGGTTTTTGACAAAGTTGCGTTTGGTGCTCGTGATCACAGACTTTGATCATTCATAAGGCCAACATCATGAACAAGTCTGCAAGAAATCAGAACTACCGGATTTGACGCATAATACCCCTATATGTTCAGGCGACAAAGTTACTGGACCACAAATCGAATCTAATAATGTTTCGACTCAATATTTGTTTGTTCGAATTTATTGGAATTGGAATCTTGAATCTCATTACAATTTCTTTTTTCTTTTTTCAGAACTGGATGATGGGTCCTTCAATCCTCTGTGGGCTATGCGTGGATTCACGCAGACATTCCACTTCTGGAAAGAAAACAAGAGAGCACAATCAGTCCCATTGAACGCATTTCTAACTTATATCACACTGCCTTGGTGGAGCATAGCTAAAGGCAAGTTATCTTTCCACAATACTAGGTGTTCTTAGAATAAGAGAATTTGATGGAATGAGGTATCGTTCAATTTTATCACATTCGTCATAAACAGTCCGGTATCATTTGATATGATGCTCCAGATCTTGTCGAAATCTGACCATAACATTTATTGTTAACTTCTGCTCGATTAACGTAGGTGATTCATAACTTACAGTGGAGGTGATATAAATCAGGAGGGGTGGAAGAACTGACAGTCACAACTCCATCACATTAAATTTTTTAAATAATGACCAACGGTCATGAATATAAAAAAGGACATGTTTTGAAGAATAAATCCTTCATCATCAGCAAATGTGTCAAGAAAAAAAATGCTTATGTTAGTTATAAGTATTGATTAAGAAATCTGAATGTACCTACCATTATCGGTGGAATGAACATGAAAAAAATTAATTTTGTTTTTAACCGCGCATAGTACAGGTGAGTTAATGTAGGGAACCATTATTACAAGCTCAATAATAAGAACTTAGATATTTGAAATAGTGACAAAATTCAATTATCAAAATAAACCAACATGTGGATCTGGATTTGTTGAATTAGGTTAACTAATCACAAATGACAATCGACAAATGACTATTGACGATAATGACGCTGAGGACAAAACACAACATTAGAATGACACCCGTCAAGTCAAAACTAAGAAATGTTTTGATTCGAAGTGACATAGAACACAGAACCACAATTGTAGTTAAAATAATAAGGAGTTGAATAATTTAAGGCTATCGAATTGAGTTTGTTCATTGAGGCAGTTGAGGTTAGGATTTCTGACCGCTTTATTAATTCCCAGAGTTCCATGAAGGTTAATTTTTTCTTTCCTTGTAACAAATATATAAAATTTTTATGTCAGATTTGGGATCAAAAGAGTGTTTTTCATTGATAAAACGGTTAGGAAGAACAGAATTGGACCCAAAAAAATCTTTTTCAAAATTATTTTCCATAATACGATTGTGTTCTCATACTCTGGTTTCAAACTTGCGACCTGTTTGACCAATTTAGCACACTTTTCAATCATCATTCTTACAATTCAATTTATGAACAACAGATTCTTCTAGAATATCAATCTTGTCTTTTGTGTTGACTAGTGCACTCCCTAGAGTATTGGCGGTTTTGATTTTAATTTGTGTTTCAATTTTTGTGTAAACACAGGTCGCAAGTTCAAAACCAGAGTATCAGAACTCATTCGTATTATAGAAAATAATCTTGAAAAAGATTTTTTTCAGTCCAATTCTGTTTTTCCCAACCATATTATCAATGACAAACACTCTTTCGATCCCAAATCTAACATAGAAATTCCACATATTTGTGACGAGGGAAAAAATCGTAACCTTCTTGAAACTCTGAAAATTAAATAACGGGTCGAAAATTCTTACCTCAACTCAACAAACTCAATTCGATAGCATTGAATTATTCAACTCCTTTTCATTTCCACTACAACTTTGGTTCTGTGTTCTATGTCACTTCGGATCAAAACATCCCTTAGTTTTGACTTGACGGGTGTCATTCTAATGTTGTGTATTGTCCTCAGCGTCATTGTCATCAATTGTCATTTGTCGATTGTCATTTGTGATTAGTTAACCTAATTCAACAAATCCAGTTCCACATGTTGGTTCATTTTGATAATTGAATTCTGTCACTATTTTGAATATCTGAGCTCTTATTATTGAGCTTGTAATAATGGTTTCCTAACATTAACTCACACGCACTATGCGCGGTTGAAAACAAAATCGATTTCTTTCATGTTTTGTATCAAGTGAACTTCTTCCACCAATAATAGTAGGTACATATAGATTCCTTAATCAATACTTATAACTAACATAAGCATTGTTTCCCTCAACAGATTCTCTCATTGACACATTTGCTGATGATGCAGAATTACTCCTCCGAAACATGTCCTTTCTTATGTCCATGACAAGCCGGGATTGGCGCAGTGGAAGAGCGTCCGTCTCACGACCGCAAGGTCGTGGGTTCGATTTCCAGCACGGGCAAGGAACTTTTTCCAATATTTTATCTACGAATTAAATATTGTAAAGTTTCGGAGCATCGGCTGGGGATAGTCCTGCACGATTCGCTGTTGCGTTCCAATTAACAGTGCTGCTCCTGAAGTGGCGCATGGAGTTGGTAACAAAGCCTACACAGAACACGCAGAAAGATATTATGATGATGTGGTTGTGAGCATCAGAGAAGAAGTAGGACGGTGTATGTAGGTGGGTGTGGAAAACTACCAGCTGAGCGTGAGAGCGGGCCAGCTGCTTAAGTAGACCTCGGTCTCGGGAGTTAACGATGATAGTTAGCAGGCCTGCCACTGCGCATATGGTAGTGAGTACATCACTAGCCCACAAAACACAGCTGAAAAACTCTGAAAAGAGAGCTGATGAGCGGTGCCTGAAAAGGATGTTAGCCAGCTCTCTTGATCGAACCACATCAGTCATTGAAAACACTTGGGGTTTGCAAAAAGGTCCCATTGGGGACTAGTTGCTGACGTGGAAACGTCCCCAACTAGTACCAGTACCAGTACCAGTATGTCCATGACTGTTGGTCATTAATAAATAAATTTCTTGTGGAGGAGTTGTTACTGTATGTTCTTCCACCCCTCCTGATCTGCTTAATTATTGAATATCAATATCTCACAATATACCATTATCTCTAGTGACGTTATCCTTCATTCTGTCTCGATTTTTCGTTTCTCAATATCTAAATCAAAATGTGATGTGGACAGATCCCTTGGGAAATTCAAATTGCTATTCTTCAAACATTTTGAATGTCACGAATAAACTTCCACCAATGTTCAGTTGAACGCAAACCCTCGTATTTTTGCTGAGTAAGCTCAGACTTCTAATTTCATGAGCGAAGATCTTTGCTGTTTCAATAAGACGGTACGTATGTTGCACTTTCATTTTGTGCTGGTTCAATAGTGAATTCCTCATGGATCCATGTGAATCAAGATCACGCCATTTCCACTGCATTGGGAAATCCATGAGATGAGGGATTAGTTTCCAATTTCATTAAGTTATCAACGAAATGACAATAGACCATCAGCCTTCATCAGATGCATTTCTTTGACATAATTTCCACGACAATGAACAATTGATGTGTTTTCCATTGGTTATTCATTTTGTTTTTTCTAATTCTCTTGCGCAAGAGTCGTCATTTGTTATTATGAAGTGTGAAATGAACAGGCCAACTTGAATCGAGTTGTCTGAGTTTATTATGCAATTCTATTAAATCAAAATAGCAAAGTTGGTTGTATAAACTGATGTTTTTTTCTGGAAAGCGAGAGCATCATTCGTAATAATGCTACCATCACCATAAAATGCATTCCTCAATGCAATCTACTGCTTCCTTAGACTCGAGTCCTTGGTTCCACCTGCTATTGTTGCAGCAGGTTAAGAAGTGATATGCAGTTGTGATTCATAGGCAACTCAGAATTCACGAATAGGTACTTCCAGATGCCAAAGAGAGGAGTTCTCGAGTGCTTGGTTCACAGACGTGCCTATTACAGGGAGTGAGCGTAACAATATCTCGAATTTATCCAATCATTCAATATTCAATTCATCACACAGTGTTACGGATTTAGAGATATTATCGTTTTGTCAAACATTTCATCTCATTGTATCTTCGTCCTTAGACAGTTGAATATATATTCCAGCGATATTGAGAGATTGATAGGCTCTAAATGTGATGAAAAACTGTTTCGACATGTGAGAATTAGAAGAAAAAGCGATTTTCTGTATCATCTATTTTCGAATTCATGAGTTTTTTATTTCTTGGAGCGCTTGAAAGGTGATTCCGATGATGTTCGAAGAACATCGTGCGTACTTAGAGAGGACAGGGGGAGGTGATATGTGTTCGAGTATTTCAGTAAACTTCTGGAGGTTGTGAGTTCTTGGATGTACTGACCGAGCGTGCTGAGTTCGTCTGACTGGTATTGCTGGTGTTGGAATGATAACAGAGATATCTGAAGAATATTTTTCATGAAAGTATTTATGGGAAAGTGAAAGGTCGCCAAATTTTCTACAGTGTTTCAATGAGGTCGAAGTATTTGTGAGTGTGGCATCACTGTAACACTCCACACTCTGAATTCAGAATTTGGAGAATTTTGAATAAAAAATGAGGAATTTATACTTATGCCTTTGGGCTGCTCAGATTGATGCGATAGGTCGTGAGTTCACAATTAACATTTCTACTATTGTGTGGTACAAGAAATGAGAGATTGATTTGACTAATTCGACTGTTCGATATTTTTGGGCGTCAGGCTTGCAAAAGACGAGAGCCAATCAGATATAGACACAAAACGAATATACCAGAGAATCAATTCAACAATTTATTTCCTTGTTAAAATTTCGACGAGGCTGAGGGCCAGAAGAATTCAAAATTAGATTAAGTGTATAAAGTGACTGAAGGCACTCAAATTGTATTGAGAATTATGTGGGAGAGTGATGTGGCTAAAGGCCCAAAAATAATATTGAGGATTATGTGAAAATTCTGGGAAACGATTGAAAAGCAAAAGGAAAGGAGCAAAATAAATAAGGCTAAATGGTTCAGCTTCCAGCTCTCGGTTTTGTTTCCAGCGCTACCAAGTACTGTGGTGGGTACTTCTTATGATGGAAGTAGTAGCGTATAGCCTTCTTCAGTTCTGACTGCTCAATAGGGAATCTCCGGGTGTTACGGTCCTTTATAACCCTCTCTGGTTAGCCAGGAACCTCGATGCAGGTATAGGCGTAGAGTGCATGCGGAAATATACGAGGAATCAGAAAGTTGTCGACAATGTGATTGAAGGGATAAAAGGAGATCGCTTGAACCGCTCACTCAGTTTTATGTTCTGAATGTAAATATTTTGGAAAGAAACAAATTCGAAATTTCAAGGACTCAAAGAAATCAAGAAGCTATGTATAATGAATACAATTCAGAAGAGAATCTTGACACTGGAAAATTTAGTCTTTTCAGAAGAGCTGTAGAGGAAA